GAGCTATAGATTTTAATATACAATATGAAATTTAGATTTTATAATAAATTTGTTGATTAAGATAAATAAGAACTTGATAATAAGTATTATAACTACTTTTTTAAATAGTAAACTTGCAATAATGTTAATAAGTTCATTTGATATTAGACTAATTAAAGTTAAAAAGACTAAAGACAAGTCTGATATATTGTAAATAGTCATACTACTAAACAGCTTGATTTGGTTATGTAAATTAGTTATAGTATTTGAAGTAGTATTGAATGTTTTAATATTTAAAATATGTTATAATAAAATGTTTATAAGACTATATAGTAATTAATTAGATAAACAAGTTATTCAGTGAAAGTGAAAACTGATTTGATGATATTGATAACAGATAGATAAATATAAATGATTTTATTTGTATAAAATATATAAAATAGAAAGATTATTTAGTATAATTTTAATTTTAAAGGATTTAAAAGTAAAGAACTAAAAGCTATACAAGAAGTTTGAGATTTTTTAATTGTTGTTAATATATAGCCAAGTGGCTTGCCAATTAACTTGGTTAAGGATTTTGTGTTATTTTTGAATTCAATTTTGTGTGATTCATAATACATCAATATATATATAATATATTATACAGATACTATAATAAATAGATAATTCTAGAAAAAAGTTTTTAAAGTTCTAAGTATATATAAGATTGTAAATATTATAAAACATAAAGATAAGATATGATAAATTGTGATAATTGTATACAAGTTGATCTATAAGATTATTATACTAATTATTTTGATGAGTAGTAACTTTGTGAAAAATAGTATAGATATTGTATAATTTAACAAAATTAATAAATGCATTTTATAATGAAAAATATAATATATATATATAGAAGAGAATATAAATTGAGTTTGAAAGACTGTGATATTTGAAGATTACAGATTATAAATCAGTATATATATATATAATACAGTTTCTAAAAACAGTAATAAGAGCTGATAAGATAACAGTAAGCTTAGACTTAAATAAAAAAGACTAGTATCTTGTTTGAACTTGAAATATATGCAGTATATTGTTGTTTAAAATTTGGACCTATCTAATACTTATAGAACATTATGAGGTATTCAGGTTAATAACAGAACCATTTGTATAAAAATAAAATTCTGATGATTATGAATTGTAGTTAATGATTTGTTGAAGGTTATCTGTTAAAGTATTAGGTTCAAATATAGTTGGAATTAAGTATATTGTAATGTTAATATTAGAAGAATTAGAAATTTAAATAGAATATCAAATTGCAATAAAGTATATAAGATCAAGATGATTGGTATTGAAGTTAAGAGTTTTATTATATATATTAACTTGACCAAAAAATCTAAAAGAGAGGTTGATAAGAATATTTATTGTATATTTATTGACAATTATATAAGAGTTAAAAAAGTAACCTGGACATACTTGTGATTGGATAGATGAAAGTAGATATAGATAAGTAAATTGTTGTTCTATGTGGTATTGTTAATAAGTAATTAGAATAGTTTCTAAAAAAAAGAGTTGTCTCCTAACTTTGTAACTATTGATTTGATCATCAGTATTGTAATAAGTCATAGTTTTTTCTATAAAGTATTCAGTTGAATAATTATAATAGTTTGTATTAGATAAGTATAAATATTAATAAAGTCTACTTGAAAAGATCCAAGTAAAGGGTAGTATAAATCTTCAACAATATTATTGTAAAGACTAAACCTAGAAAATGAATACTAATATAAAAGAAATCAAGCAAGCAAGAACCTTGGGTGAGAGGTACTATCAACTAGACTGCTGAAAGTCTTGAACTAGAAAAAAAAAAACCTTAAAAGCAGACTCTAAGATACTAAAGACAGATCATAATCCTTTAGACTATCTGAATTGGAAATCTGAGATCAAAAACAGAGATATACTATAAGTACTAGAAATATGCTATAAATTAATGCTAAGATTTAGATAAACTTTGTAAGAACAAATCTTATTAACAAAAAATTAAATGTAAAATAATTAGTTAGTAGAAAAGTCTTCTGAAGTCTTATAATCAAGTAATATACTCTAAAATATATAATGACTTGATAGATGTACAAAAAGAGAGGTCAAAGTTAGGTTAGACAGCACTTAGGAGTATAGGAACTTGTATGCTATTTGTCAGTATAAGTATAAGAATCAGAGTATTTAAATAGATAATCTTCTAGTAGATAGCAGATAAACAGCTAATGTAAAATCTGCTATGTGGGTGAACTACTTAAAATAGACAACCAAAATTTGTACATGTGACTAGTTGTATACTCACCTTGTACAAGTTATGTAATCATAATTAAAATACAGTAAAGGCAATAGTTACTGATAACCATGACCTTAGAAAAGGAAAAAAAAAAAACTTGTAAATACCTTCAAGCAAAATTTTCAATTTGTTAAAAATTCTAAACAAAAAATATTATAATAAACAGTTGAACTAAATATATTTTAATAAAAAAAAAAACTTATATTTAAAGAAAAATCTTTACCTAGTTATATAACACAAATGATTAGCAGTTTGTTCTAGTATATATATTTCAAACTGATATAATTTCTGTCTTTTTATTTTACTAAAAAAACAAAACTGTTAAAATGGAAAATATAAAATAGAATCAGTTGACTAGCTTTGTCTTAAATAATATTGTTAGTCGAAATACCTTATTAAGTCAAATATTTAAATAAATTTGTGTCAAAATATATTGACATAACATTATTTTTCATCAAAATGTAAAATTCTAAATTTGACTAAATGTCTAAATAGTTGACTAAATAAATAATGTATGACTAAATGTTTAAATTAATGATAAAGAATGCTTGTACATTAAATTAACTGATTTTTGAATTAATAGTAATTCAGATCCAAGTTATAAACTTTTAGCATAATGAATACTGTGTAAAAAAAACACGTATAAAATGTGAGAATAATTTCAAGTATAAAAAGCTTATATAATTAAGCCTGCTTGATAAGGGCAAGCGACCGTTTTTGAATCAAATTTATTTTAAGGTACATAGTGTAAAATTTACAAAATCGGATACGTGCTAATAAATAAGTTAATATATATTTTTAATTTAGACATTTTGACATTACAACTGCTCTTATAAATTTTAGGTCATCTAGTGAAAATTGACCGAATAATTATTTAGCGATTCTAATTCAGCAGTGATAAACTTTTGATTTGGAACATGATTAGTATATGTATATATATAACGATATATCATAGCGCTAGTATTCTACGTAAACGATATAACAAGGTTAACTAAGTTTCGCTTGAATTCATGTCCAATATGTTTGGTGGCCTTGTTTATACGAAAATTTATGACGAAAATTGCTCTTGTCAATAGATCTTAGCTAAAGACACAAAAAAGGTCCCGAATATAAAAATACATTAAAAAAAATTTTCGATATAAACAAGATTTATGACTGGGTTAAAAAGATATAACACAAGTTATGATTCCATACAACCAAAACTATATTAATATTTGTCGAAATTATATTGTAGAGATGAAAAAAAAAAAAAAACATGTTTAAATCTTTTTTCACTGATTTAAAACTGTAATGATTAAAGTCCGTAACTCAACAAATACCAATTAGGCTTTTCGTTCATTAAAGTTTTTAAACATTTTATACCATCCAGTTTTAATAAACATGGTCTTCCTAAAATGCCGGAAGCTTTTCAACACATCATATCTACGAAAATGTTTAAGAATTCGATTCACAGAAGATTTGCTAACACCTAGGTGTCTGGCAATTACCCGAACTGCTAGGTCGTCCAAATATATATTTTTTAATAATTTTCTAACGAATATGCTTTGAAAATGTTATTAGCAAAAATAATATACATTATATAGCTATTATATATTTAGTAAAGATATAAACACAAACTTATCGAATCGGCAAAATAGTCATTCGGTCAATTTTTCACCAGATGCCTCAAAATTTATGAGAATGGCTGTAATTAGGCATTCCGGCAGACTAATTATCAAGTATAGAAATATTTTTACAAGCACAAAACAACTTCGGCTAATAACATTAGTCTTGAATTTATTAATAAAAAAAGTTTGTTTAAAAAATTTATCCGGTTATTAAAATTTGTTTTGACAGTGTTATAAAAACCAATTCATTAAAAATTTCTTTTTTTTTTTCAAATATTATTCTTAAAATTAAGCTAGGATGGTGAAATAATTTCACTATTGGTGAAATCGGTTTTAATTGGTGAAATTTGGTGAAATTAATTTTACCAGCATCTCTAATTATCATATAAAATTTTTAAATATATTAATTTTTGATAAATAATTTTTAGCAAGCAAGGTTGCCCCGTATAACGGTAGTCCAGCAATTCTTTGATACACCTTCAGTCAACCTGCATAACTAAAAATATTACTTTGATGTTATTCGTTCATCAAGTTTAAAAAAACAATGGTAATAACGAATAAGCAAACTCGTAATATATTGACAGTTATTGGTTTGCAAAAAGTGCGTATGATACGTACTAACACATTATCTTTTTTTTATACTATGTGCAAAAAAAAAAAACTTTTAATATTAGATATCGATTCTGTATATGGTCTTTTGAATACAAAACATCACTATAAGCGGACAAAATGGTTTTTAAAAATGCAAAGGAGAGAAAGAGTGATATTAATATGAAATGCGTAGAAAAGGTTGAAAACCAGTATCAAGTTTTAAATGACATATGAGTAACTAAATACAATATATATAATAACATATAAATACAAAGATATAAGAAAGCATTTTTTTCATTAAGGGACTTTCTCTTGCTGACTTTTGACCAACGAATATATTAAGGGTATATAGTTAAGGACTCGATTTCAAAGAAAAAAAGGCCCTCAAAAAATCCTGTACATGTATAAAAAACAATGTGACAATAAATGAAGTTGGAAATGTAAATTTACTAAAATGAACTATATAAATGACTAATTTAAACAATTCTAAAGAAAGTAGAACTATCAGTAACTTAATCGGAGGTAGAACTTCTAGGAGCAGCCGATTGAACATGAAGGGACGGCGACCCTCTCACTTTATCGTTTTTAGCAATCTTATAAATCATAACTTGTTCTGGTTCATTAACTTTTTCCACAACAACATTTGGTTTCGGATTATATTTGTATACTACTTCTCCAAGAGCTTCGACTCTCCATTCTCCATCATACATTTCACGGCGTTCAGACCACAATTTATAGGATAAGAATGAAGTTATGACGAATAATACGCCAATTATCCAACCAAAGACAATAAACAATAATTTGGAAACACATTCTTGGGCAACGGAATAAGAAGATGAGGAGGAACAGGAATAGCTATAACCTTGGAATGTTGGGTATATGTTTGCTAGACCTATAAATCAATCGAAATTAAAAAAAATTTAAGAATCCATCGTAGACATCGTAGTGTATATACATATATTAATGAAATCGATTTTCACCTGAAGTAATCCATAAACATGCAAAGACGCTATTTTTGTGTGCATATTTTAGATAGATAGTAGATATATATATGTTTGTTTTTTTTTAAAAAAAAAGAAAGAAAAGCATGTATTATATTATTAAATAATGAGTTAGTAAAAAAACTATTGAAAGAAATGTTCGAAAACGGATGAGTACGTACCCATTGATTGCAATATCGCGTTTATGTGGGCCAGTAAAGAACAAATGATGAACCACATATACAACTATGAGAAAAATAAATATTATCATTTTTATAACATTTCTCATTGATAAATAAATTTTTTTTTTTTTTTAAAAAAAAAAACATACCAGCATCCAAAAGAGTAAGAAGTATAACGATGTAAGAAAAAATTTTTACACCATTATAATAGTATTGGGTACCATCTTTGTTGTATTGGTATCTGTTTTAACATAAGTGAATCAGAATTAATACAATATTTTTCACGAATATTCATATATGAATATATGTATGTTCATGTATATTCATATATAGGCAAGTAAATACTATTTTTGTAAAGTTTAAGAGCTAATACAGGAAAAGACATACATTTGACCTGAAAAATAAGCGGAGACTGGGATACCTTCATTTGGAGCGAATTGAGCAAACGCGGCAGCCTCAACAAGTTCTATTAGAAATATACATTTAGGTTAGCAGCTATTCTTTTGTATGTTTGCAAATCTGTTATTCATAATAAAACTAAAAACTGTCTTCGGTATTACACTTATAACTAGTTCAAGACAATTAAAAAAGAAGAAATACCTAAGATGATACAGATTACAGTAAATATTAAATGAAGGATTCTTAAAGACTTAAAGGTAGTTTGAACAAAATAGGCGTTCATTTTGTAATTATATTAAAGATAAAAATTGTATATAATCTTCTAAAGGATGATTTTTTTATGTTTTATACGTTCGTTCCTTGGCAAAGGAGGGATTAATGTAGGTTGTTAATGTAGTTTTTATTGATGAGACATGGTATAAGTTGAATGGAATATCCGTGGGAGATCCAAGGCCTTTAGGAACTGTAAAGAATGTTTTAACGGTGATAATGGTGAAATGAAAGAGACTCGGTAGCGGGGTGCGGGGTGTGGGATGTGTGGGGGAGATCTATACGATGTCTACCTAAAGCCCGAGAATGTAATTTAAAGACAACAAACACAAAATTTACACAACATTATGGTCTTTTATATGTTTACTTTTTTCGCTCATTTACAATATTTTATTGGCTCTCACAAAATTTATTAAATAGACCAACTTGGAACATAAGATAATCCGAGTATCATGTTAGGATATATGCGTTTGTTCACTTCTTGCATGAATTGTTTTTGACCAACGTAATGCGAAACATGATTAACATGACTTTGTAACCCATATGACTTCTATTTCTGTATTTTTATGGCCGATTTGTGGTCGTATGGCTGTCGAATTGTGCAAACGTTTGTTATAAGTCATTTAAAATAAATACACAGATTTAACTTATTAAGGCATAAATCGCATTATCATATTATCATATAACCTGTCTTTACTATATTAATACGATAATGATAACAATAATGTCAAAAAAAAAATCAGAAAATTATCAATACACGTGGCTCGCCACATCGAGTGAATCAAATGAAACTAAAAAAACAATTTTGGCAACGAGGTAAGACAAACATTATTAATTTGTCAATACGATATACGATAAGGCTTTTGGTAAACCGTAGAAAACAAACAGGTAATAGAAGAATTTGTTACGTATAATTCCGTCGTGCTCAATGTTGAAGGAAGGTGCTTCTTGATTTATAAATGCCAAGACTAAAAATTGCTATTTTTCAAGAGAAATGAACCTCCTTAATTATTATCCGATAGCCTCTAATAAATACTGAACTCAATTAACCGTTTTCTTTCATTTAATATTAGTGTTTATACAGGTTACGTGTTGGATAGTTTATTTTTATATTATGAACTTGTAATAACTGGGAAATTTTTTTCATTACAGCTCATTATCGTTTTAGGTACGTATTATGTCAAGAATACTGGTTGACCAAGTCATTTAACCACATCATTTGGCGTGACAATTTAGCACATAATTAGATTTAGTATATGTAATTTATAAATTGTCACATCATGTGATGTTGGTTAGGTGGTCTGTGAGTACTACACGTGGAGTTGAAATTAGAGATTGTACTCGGGTAAACATTTTTATTATATGGCTATAATAAATTATTCGGATAACCTGGGAATTTAATAATACCCGAGTAGAAATTTCCTTGACGGGTACAATCTCTAGTTGAAATTTACAATTTCATGTCAAAATGGTTCACTATATAACAAAGTATATGAAGGTTCGTCATTATCCAATTTTACCGTATTTGTATTTGAAGTTGTAGGTTATTTTGAAGTTACACCGAAAACATTTGGGACAATAAAAGTTTCAGGAACTGGTAAATATAATACATAATCGAAACAAGCATGTAAGATCTCCTTGCATGTATTTTAATCCGAGCTAATCATATGCTTTAATGAGATTTAAAGGAGCATAATTTTTTAAGTTCATCTACCAAATCTTTATTTTGTTGTACAAACCAAGGTATTTAAATGTCCCAATTTTAGCTTTATTTCGTCGGTAATGGTATTTTTTTAAGCTTTATAATCTCATATTCTATGTTCAAAATGAACGAAGTATGGCTGGGCTAATATCTTTATTTCGTCTGTAATGGTGTTTTTTTAAGCTTTATAATCTCGTATTTCCATGTTTCAGCCTAGTTTTCAAAATGAACAAAGTAGGGCTGGGCTAATATTCTTTTTTTGCCTTTAAATCCGCATTATAAGTTTATTAATTCTGGTAATACGTACAATAAACCTGATTAATTATGACAATTAGTTAATAGCAAATGTTCTTTTACTAATTCTATTCTATTCTGGTTATCTAACTAATTTGATTCTATATAGTTTTAGATTATTTTAATCAGGTAATCTAATTCTAAATTAAAATGTTTTAAAATCAAATTTATATTATATACATATGTAATTTTCTATTTATAACATGGTAACTAATATTACAGAATCAATTTACCCTAACTTTAATTAATTCTATATACCTATAATAAAAACGGTAAATTACTATTGTAAAAATACTAAAATACTTTATATTTATAGTACAGTCGAACATCTCTATAGTCATCTCTTATAAGCACATTATATAAAAATTCTCTTTATAAGCACATTTTTAGGAAAAGGTACTATAATCCCGATAGTGTGATTATAGAGAGGATTTTAAATTTTAAATCTTTTATTAATATAAACTTTAGTTTTTAATATTAATACAGTTAGACCTCATGATAGCAACTCTTGATATACGTGCTATGATTTAAACTACAATTCAATATAATTTGATAGCTTAATTACAGATTAATTATGAAATTTCCAAGAAAATTTGTCTAAAAACCAGTTTAAATAATAATCTATACAATGTATATGTATAATGAAAATAGATTCTTAATAAAACTTTTTAAAATTATAATTAAAATTTGTATTATACAATTTAAAGTCTTTTATTTATAATAGTAAAAATTAGTTTCTATATTTTAAAAAAATTTATTTTTGTATACATTTAATAAAAAAAAAACTTAATTTTTTTTAAATTATATAACAATTCCTACTTTTATTTAGTTAAATTGATGGTTTTTATAGTTCTAAATAGTTAAATTAATATAAACTATGTAAGTTTTTTTAACTCTTTGATAATCTTATTAAGAATCTTTATTAAGATTCTTATATATATATATATTTTTAATCTAAAATTATAGTTTGATATTTTTTAATTGTTTCTATAAGTACTTAAAAGCAGTTTGCTATAATAGCCAATTATAATGTTAACTTATTAGAATTTTACTTTTAACAGATGGTTTTGTTATTAATTCGGATACTTTACAACGCTTTATGAACATTAAATAGGTACAAATTTCCAATAACTTTATACTATATATATTTTATGCTTAAACAAAACTCTGGTCTTATTTATTCAAAACTGAACTTATTGCTATTTTATTTATTTTTATTATTGCTTCTAGAAATAGTATTATAAAAATTTATACAGATTCTTAATTTGTAATTTCTAAATATTAAAATATTTTAAACTTTTCTATAACTTTATCATATACATATACATTATATATTTTATTATACTCCAAACATCACAACTACTATTTCTATCTATATTTAAATCTTTATCAAAATGTCACAATCCAAAATCACAATTTAGATAAGCTTAACAAGCAACAAGCAATTGGTATTCTTACAACTAAACCTATTAGCACCAAATTTCTTACAAGAATTTTAACTTTCTATCACTCTTGTGATAAAACATTTATTTACCCTCAAATTACAAATTAATTTCGAAAAACAGACTATCCTGAGGCAAACAAAATTATACAAGAAAAATTCCAAATGAAATATGAAACACCACCCTTGATTACAGAGTCTCTTTTTATTGAAGAGAGCCTTTTTCAATAAACTTGTCTTCTACAACTTTCATAAATGCAGCCACCATCTTATTAAAAGATACACCCTTAGTAGTTAGTAAGGAAAATGATGTAAGTAGACAGGTGGTAAAGCCCATTTACGTGAAGGACCAAGTTAATAATGGCCAGATCCAACATACAGGGCAGGCTATGGCATCCTCCACAACTGTGCGAGCTGAGCTTAAATGGTGAATGACCCTGTAGAAGACAATTCAACCCTTCAAGTTTCTGCTTCCAACACTTCAACTCCTGTAAAAACAAACACATGCTACAACAAATTTCTACAATCACACAATCTACCTATCATAAATAATCTTATAACACTTGAAAACTTCCTATCCTATCTTCGAAAATATTCTTTCAAAAATAGCTTCAAAATATCTATCAATCAAAACAAAACTGAATTACATATATACACTAACCTCACTGATTCTATTTTGCATAAACATCATACTATTCAACCTTTCCAATATGAAATATACAAACATCTATCCTTACTAACAACACCTAATAATAGATCATCATACACCCACTTAGTCTCACTTGATTAATTGTTTCTTACAGACCTATCTTCTGAATCTTCATCTATACCAGTAACTTCTACATCCAATCATACTGTCGATAGATTTGAGACTTCTTCTCAACTTATATTCTCTAATACTTCTAACATACAATCTACCATCCTCCTACCAGTAAAAGAAACATCTACATCTACTCTATATAAACTATTATACCTATCAATATATATACACAACACATGAGGATACAATAATAATCTAAAACAACAAGTTTGAGAAGATTATTGTTTATCACATAACATCAATATAGCTAGCATTACAGAAACTAAA